CATTTCTCTGTGTCCCCCAACTCACATTCCACATTCCTCACAGTCCTCTGACTTTATTGCTCCTTTTGTCTGCCATTCATGCACTCATTTTTGCACTGTCTTTCATGCTGCCTATGTGCCTGGAACAGTCTTTAGCATCTCAGCCAATTTACAGCTTTGCATAAATTATATTTAATAATAAGACTAACAAAAGTTCATTATCTACATTATTTCAATTAAGTTTGTACCTACATAAGCAGAAAACAGCCTGAGGGAAGCTACTGTTGAACTTTGTTGTGATTCTTTGTTGTGATTTGTTTTGATTCAAAGATACAGATTCAGGGTTCTTTGATTCAGCATAATATTTTAATTTAAAAAAAAAAAAATTCTGTCAATGATAGATTTCTTGGCAGTAAATTTTAGATTTTTCCAGCTCAGAATTATGAAAGTAGCTTCTTATTCCTGGTGGCACCACTGGAAGGTCGGTGTCATCATCACATTGCTGGTATGGAATTCTTGCCCTGTGATTACATTTTACTTCGTTTTATTCTTACTAATAGAGGAAGGGCTTTGAACGTTGCAGTAATTCTGTCTCTACAGAGGCTATCTTCTCTGCTTAGCCCCAGTTTTAAAGCAACATTCTCACCTACAAAAACAGCGAAAGATAAGAAAGTAAGACTGCCTGTATCTGGCAATTTTTGTCTGCCTTGATATTCAGGTTTTTAGAACTAGTTTTTAATATGTTAACTTCGTCCTATCACCAGAGAAAATGAGCGAAGGTAAAATTTCACGTGCTTCTCCATCATCTGGTACAGCTGCAAGGCAAGGGCATTCCATTCTGCAGCAATTACACATGCTTTTCCAAGTTAAAATGCATCCAAATTTATTTATTGTTTAAATGGTTGTATTGATACTGTTCACAGCTGAATGGAGGAACCAAGTAAATGTGCCTCTAATTTGTTTTTCATTGATTTGGAATATTCTGGAGATTATAATCTGAAGGGCGGCTGCCATAGCAATATGCCAGTCTCCATGGTATCTCCACATTATGTAAAGAAGTTCTGGGCTACACAAAGACAATGCCGCCAATTAGTATTTCTAGCTGATCAAAGGTGGGGGACCAGAAAGTTTGCCAATAAATGTAGCTCAGTGGAAGGCACTGGAAATTAGCTTTACACAGTTATATGGATTTCAGTCCTCCTGTCAGCATCGTGAGAACTTTAAATACAAATTTAACAGATGCTAAATGCAAACTGAATGTTTTTCAGTTGTGTGAAGAACACTGCCATAGGTTTTCGTTTTGCTGATTAACTGAAAAAGTGATTTATGGTTCTGCATAGAGTGAATCATGAGAGCATTTTCCTCCTTACATGGTATTTAAACTGAAACAATTAATGAAGAGTGTTTCTGTAATTAATCAGTAAATATTCCTCCTCTCTAAATCTTCTCCACTTTGCTTTCTTGATACTATTTTAGTTATCAAATAAACCTAAAATGAAGTCGTTATTTTAAAGCAAACCTATTTTATCTGAAATAATTGCCTGTGGCTTGTTGTTTCAAAGAGGGCTACTTTGGCATGAATTCAGAATCCAGTTGTGATCTTAACTCGAGCAGTTTGTTTAACCAAACATTACTCTGATCAGTTCTACATGGTCCCCTACCCGGCCAGGCCTGCCTAGAACAACTCGTTTATTCTGCGACGAGTTGCTCAACAGATGTCATTCTGGTAGAATAATGCAGCAGAATAGTTGTGCGTTGGCTAAAATTACTTCAACTTTGATCACTTTTGTTCAGCACATCAGTCTGGCATTGTGCTTTATACCAACATAACACTTTACCCCGAGCATGCCTTTCAAGCTTAGAATAGCAGAGGAATGTTATTGAATTCAGTGCAGTTACAGATGAGTTAATGAAAGAAGGGAAATACTGTTTTTTTCATAATGCCTTTCTGTTGTGATTTGGAATTAAAATGGAATTTGAAGAATGTGACTTCTGAGCTATTTATTTTTACTTCTGAAAGCTTTTTGAAAGCAATATAATGTAGTGCTCTTGATCCCATTTCTGTAAATAAATTTCACTTGTTATTTTGAAAGAGCTCTTTTTAGAGTTTAATAATGGGAAAATAAAATTAATAAGACTTTTTTTGATGTGTAACTGGGGAGCAGTTATCTCAGAGGCAGTTTATCCTGAAAAAGAATCAAAAAAAGCAAGAACCATATTCTGCTGATCACAGCTCAGTATTGTTACATTTTGATGGGATGTTGTGGGGTCACTACTGAGTAATGACATCTCTTTACCTTAATACCACTGCGGAACAAATGCTGCACAGCAGGCTGGCTTCTTGTTAAGAAGCAGTGAAGAAAGGCTGTTTGTTTTGAACAGTAGGAATGAGATCATATACCAAGTTCCATAGAGTCTTGTCCTCCGTAGTTCCATTTTTCACAAGTGCATGTGTGTATGCATACACATATACACACAAATATACCGTATGTATTTACGGTTAAAACATTTATTTAAATCAATTTTGAATAATTAAACTATATTTGTATTTTTTAAAAGTATAATGTGCTTACATTTGAGATGGCACTAGTACAGAGTACTCTCTAATCTCTAGCAAGTGCTTCAGTATTCTCTGTCTAAAACAAAATAACATTCTTATTTTAGTTTTTATTTAAAATAGAGTTCTGTAATTTTTTATTGAAGCATACTTACCGGATCAGATTCTCTGCAGGAGCACCTGGAAAAAAAACAATATTAAAACAAAGAGTATGGGGCATATATGTAATTCGCCAGTTTTTTTTTTTTTAATTTTAAAAAAAAAATCTTGATTCTAAAACACCCTGAGAATTTGGAGATAAGCGGAAACTCCAAAACAAATACATGCTAGGATACTGAGATATCCAAATAAGGCAACTTCCATGGCCTTTTTTTATCCTTTATTGAGATGTAGAGCCACTGTGATGGAAGTAATTTAACTTGCTGTTAAAATGAAGGCCTTTTTCTCAGTCACCTGTGCAGAATAGTCTTGAAAACGTTCAACCACGTAGCCTTGTTAACACTGATAGTTCACATTCTCATGCCGGTGTATTAAATCTATCCAGAAATATTAAGCAGTTTTTCACTGTACTAAGGGGCAATTTATTACCATGGGAAAAAGTCATGAGAATAATATCAGTAATTGTATGCAGGATCTGAGAATTGGCAATTCAGTGCCTCGCTGGGCGTAGCACTGTACTTTGAGCCTTCATTCTGTTTATGCCTTGAACTTTCTCAGCAGCATTTCTTTGTTGGCAAACCTTTGCAGCAGTGCCATGAAGAGTCTGCTGAAGAATACTGTCCAAGTCAACATCTGTGACAGCAAATGTATGCTCCCTCTTAGCTTATTTACAGTGATTAGAACAGTTATTTTACTGCTTGATGTCTGCACATGTGACTTCCATCCATTTGTTAGCATGCTTGAACTGTATGCCAAAAAGAAGAGCGCATGTGGCATTTTCCTCTAAAGATAAAGCAAAGAAAAAGAGATTTGTTACTACTTCATTATGGACATGTATTCTTAGATGAATCTTCTGCCAGATGTTGTGTATAAATTCTGTATTAAAAATAAATGCCAATTTTAAAGTGAACTTAAAGATGGCATATGGTTATATTTCTGTACTGTGTTATTGTGTATTCTGTAGTCAACTTTAATGGCAGGTAACTGATTAAGTAATTAGGGGCAAAGTATATAAAATAGTTACTCAGTAGATTGCCTTATTTTATAGCATCATCTCTTTAGGAACTTTAGAATCACCCTGATTCCATTATGTGAATGAGAGACTTAAATCTATGTATCATGGTAGTATTTTTCATTTTCATTGAGTGGAGACCAGGGCACAACTTCTGACTTCCTGACCGATTTTATCTAGTGAAAAAATTATATAAATGTTAGTAACATTTATCAAACCTCACTTTTTGAAATTGTTTTTTGGCCTATTAAATCCATGGTTGAGGTCTTTACTTGGAACTGCAAATAGATGTGTGTAAATAGATGAGGGCCATGTATTCATATGTTGCAGCTGTATGGAAAGCAAAGCAAAACCCAGCACTGGTCGCTGTACGCCTTCCTTTGCTCACAGTTCTGGTCTGGTGGGGCAGCATTCACGGTGCTTGTTGCTTCTGCAATCTTCATGTTCTGGTATAAGATATTATTCGCAATTTGAGCTACCTCAATTACAAAAATATTTTTTTTGCCCTATAAACAGTCACCATAAAGTCTCTGGTGAAACATGATTTTTTTTTTAATGCATTAGCGTTTTTGAGGAAAGAGTTTTATAGTTCTTGTATTTTTCATTTCTTCCCCTATTTGAAATCTTCAATACTTTCTCCATTTTCTTCCTCCCTTCCTCTTTTCCTTCCTTCTGTCCTTCCACCCTCTCTCTCTCCTTACTGATAACCATTGTATACGATCATTAATTGCAGCACGTTATACTTTAATAGCTTGATAAAAGTATTTATGTGAAAGTGAGTTTACATGATTTTTGTTAAACATTTGAAATGTGTTGTTATTCTTGAAATGGGATTATTAATTTGTATTTTCACTTTTAATACTATCACTTTTACTTTTGGATCTCATTTAATAAACTTATGCAAAAAATAATTGTATTTCTTTGTGTACAAGTTGAGGTGTGAATACAAAAATTTCAGGAGAAAACAGAACGTACTAATGAACTCTAACTACTTTTATTATTACCTTCTCTGTCCCTTCAGGTTGTTCATTACATGGCAGCACTTTTTACTGTGAGGAATTTGTATTATGAGTTTTGTAGCAGGTTTATCTTGCTTCATTAATAACATGTTCTCAGTGATATATTACAGATGTTTTTTCTTTAACTTTTTTTTGTTCAAATGCTTTCGGGAGCACTGTACTTGAGCTCTGTTTTACAGTAGGTAGTTGGGAAAAACTCAGAAAGCCTGGAATTATGAAAATGATGCAGCTTGCTTGTATGCTTTTGATTGCAAGTTCTGATTTTCTTTCCCAGGTAAAACGGAACGTGTACGACCTAACCAGTATCCCTGTCCGTCACCAGCAGTGGGAGGGCTGGCCTCCTTCTGCCACAGACGACTCAGTAAGTAGCTTTGGTTCTCATTTTGTTTCTTCCTACAAATAGCCATTTGTGCTTGAGCGATTCTCATCAAAATCCAGTTGTTTTCATTGACCCATATGCAGAAGCTTGCTATTTATTATACATAGTTCAGAATTTTATCTGAATATTTATCTAGGTATATTATATCTGAAGTATTTTGGGAAGATTTCCTTTTCCATGAGATTAATGTTCATCATCATTAACGTTCATTGTATGCTTTGGACTAGAAGGAATCAATGATCCTAGGCTAAAGCAAAATTGCTTAAGGAAACTTAAGGAAAAAATAAAATTTTTACATGTATTCTGAGTAACCTGTATATTTTTCTCTGTTTTGTCCATTAATTTATGAATTCTTGCATCTAGCATTAAGTAGGTAGGTTGAAGCTGGTGAAGACTATCTAGCTCGGCTGTTGCAGAACCATCAAGAATCTGTGCTTCTCAAGATTGCATTTCAAATTAGTAAATATTTTGTATGCAAAGATATTTCAATTTTCAAACATATTTTACAGGTTTTGGTATCACCATTATCTAGAAATGGAGGGTAATATTAGCTTAAGATTAATGTGTCTACTTACAGTACACAACAGAGTGAGTAAGCAGGGAACTGCCTACAAATTTATGAAACTATGGGACTTTAATACAAAATTCAGTCAAATATTAGACTTCCTTCATTATGTGGTTGCCCCTACACTGGAATTTTACATCACATCTTTCATTTTTGTTCAGTTTTTTTCTGTTAGTATATTCCCGATGTCAGCCAGTGAGGTTCACCCTAATCTTAAAACAAAATCACCTAAACCACTGAAATAATTACCTAGTGATGCTCTGTGTAGATTTCAAGATAGTAGCCTGAGAAAAATATAGAAAAAAATAGGTATTTTCTTTTCTTATAGACTTTTATATTTAAACTAAGGATTGAACCTACAATGTTCAGTAGAGTGTTCTAGAAAGTGAAGATGGAATTGGTCTTTGCTTTTTCTGTATTAACATTATCTAAGTTACCATTATCCTCAGTGCATTACATTCTGCTTTCTTGTCCCTTTCTACTCCCCCCCTGTAAAAGAAGATTTGCTGTTTGTGATTGCTGCTTTTTTTTTTTCTTTTTTTTGCATTTGGTAAGGATTTATGCAAATAATAATTAAAAAAAAAAAAGCAAAAACAGTCTGAATTTTAATATAATTGGGAAAAGCCTATGCCAATGTTTGCAGAAACAGTAGTTAAGTTTCTGAGAGTTGATTTAATCTCCATCCACGTATTCAAGGGCATATATGAGAGGATAGATTTAAGATCTGAAATAACAGCATGGTGTCATGTGGTAATTACAGTCTTTGAAATTTGGATCCATTTTAACGTTTTATTAGTTTACATTAGCCCAGAAAAGAATTGGAAACTCAACCCTTCTAATCCGTTTTCCCACAGCAGCAAGGGAGAAAAAAATACAGAACCTTTCTTTTGAGTAGAATAGCTCACATATGCAAAACTCATGAATCTGTTTTAAGTCTGTTTTTACAAGTGACATTGTTGCAGGTGAATTTTTCCCCTTTTCATCCTTAATGAAATTGGTGAATGTTGAGTCATCTGCTCCAAAGCAGGAAAGTCCTCAAAGCTCTGTGCTCGAGTCTGCTGCAGCTGAGACTCGTCAGCTGTGTAAACAGATTGGAATGTGTTACCAACAAAAATATAATTAATTTCTGTCTAAAATTAGAGGCCATGGCTTACTATTTATAAAGATTTAATGCTAGCAATGACTATCTGAATGTTTTTCCTTTGCAAATTAGAAATAGTAATAATTACTCTATTAATAAGTAATGATCTCTGTATTTCAGTGACAGATTTTTCTAAAACACTTTTTCCATCGTTTTTTGTTTGCTGTATTGTGTAGTACACAGTCGCAATTAAAGAGTTAAAGACTTGATTAAAATACTTTTTCATTTACTTTTTATGTCGCCTAAGAAATACTTTGTAATACCACAGGAGGTTTTTCAGTACAGTTCTCGTTAACCTTTGGCTTAGCAAACAGGACAACTAAATAGACTTCACATAATTGGATTCCTGTATCATCTCGAGTCTCTCATGAACCTGACAGACTACAGTCTTCTGACGTTACCAGGAAATTTACTGGAGTCAGTAGTCATTTAAAACATTGTTGCTTCATCTCCCCTCTGAGTTAAGATATGTTGTACTGCCTAATGAAATATGGGATACTGTATGAATTGTCAATAACTCTTTCCAATCATTTTTGCACACGCTCACCCAGGGAATAGGTACCAAAATGTCCACAAGTAGGAGAATGTTTTCATGCTGTGACACTTTAACTGTGAGAAACAAGGCATACGTAGTCCGTGGAAATCTCATTTTGCTATTCAGCAAGGACACATTTTTAGCTTTCATAGTGCCTGAACAACTTTTAACACCATGAATTATATCTGTTCTGCTTATTAAAGTTCAAACAATGTAAGTGTATGAGGTTTAAATCATTCTTTTTTTTTTAAACAAGTTTACTTAAGTAAAACTTTAATTAATATTAAAGATATAATTTATCTGCTTTGGGTATGTGTCATCAACCAATGCAGTGAAATCTGGAAAATTAGCCTAGAAAATTAATTATAATTTGATTTATATAGGTTCATGATTTGTTCTGAATCTTTGTTTATTTTAACTATCATAGCAACTTAAATGCCATAGAGCATACAAAAATGAAAACCAAGCCAGAATAATTCACTAACACTTCTAAAATGCATTTCATTTTCTTCATTGTATTGGTTGAACTATAAGTCCACTGGTAATTACTGCCATTGCTGAGTAGAATCAGCAACCTCTTGTAAGTATGAATAAAAATGTGAGCTCCCCAGTAGGCAGTGGTTTAGTTGCAGTTTTTAAATTGAAGCATAGCAATTTGATTTACCTAAGCAGAGATGACTTTTTTGGGTACAGATGCATGGTTGAAGTCAAAAGCTTTCTCCCTTGGGGTCACTTTTAAAAATCTTTTTTTGAATAGGTAAGTTTTTTCCCCATATGCTTCTGTTGATCTATTGCTAGCAGAGAACACCAGTACTGTGTGGGAAGGAGAGATGTTGCTTTTGTGCTGCCTTTGTTCTCTGCATTTAAGCTAAAACTTTATTCTTAATTACTTCAATTTTTCAAGTCATTTCAGTATAGTGATGAGAAGTGCCTACTTCTTGTACGAGCCAATAGCCAACTTGTTCAAAAGGAATATATTTTTGCATGTAAAAGCTACAAAACTTCAGGACCTCATATTCTCATTTCAAGACAAGCAACCACACTTCATTGTACAGATAAGCCAACAAATATCAGTTCAGAGAGAGGAAGTGGCTGCACTAAGGGTGAATGCCACTTTGGATGCCACACGCATGTGATGGGTCTGAGGGACTCAGGCTCTGTATCACCTCTTTGAGCTATGCCACCACAGCTCTGATGGCTGAAGACGTTGCAGTTGACATTCCTTAGCTGAATAAAATAAAGACTTCCAGGTTATAACAAAAATTTACAGATTGAAAAATTTATGTATAATCTAATTAGCACCGTTGATATGTTTAGCTATTACGCTGATTGGTGCTAAGCACAGTTTTTCTCCATGGATAGAGATTAAAAATACCAACAGGTGGTGTTCTGGTACCAGTTCAAACCATTTATGACAATTCTTAAGTGATCCTCAGAGTTTTAGAGAGTTTGAGTATTGATGCTCTTAGAAGAATACTTGTGATCTATCTTATTGTGGGGGTTCTGTAATGAGATTACATCTCAGTATAACATTTACATTATCATCACAATGCAATTGCAGAAATTGTCAAGATAGTACCCAGTGCTGAAAGTTCATTGTATGAAGCAGTGCATTTATCATGATAAAGAAATAGAAGTCTGAGAAATGTATAATATAGAGTCCCTAGATTGCTTTTAGGTTGTCTTCTGACTTTACCTTATTATGTGCTTGGATGTTTTTGGTATGAATTATAATATGACGAGTTATCATTTTCTTTACCCAGTATAAGCAAGATTTTCTTATTGTTACTAGATTTACTCTACTGCTCTCTGTTAACTGATGATGATGCCATGTGGGGTGAAGGGAAGCTTCGTAACAGTTATATACTTTTTAAAGTATACAGCCTCCAGCTTTATCTGAGATTCCAGTTGCTCTTTGTAATGAGAACTAACTGCTGTCCTCACTCTGAAAATAATCTTTTTTCTTTTTTACTGCTATTTTCTTAAAAAGAAAAAAAAATCCGACATCTTTGGTTTATTTTTGAATATGTCTGTGTTGTTATTGCCAGTTCTTGATCACAACCAAGCAGAACAAAGAATGTTTTTGAACTAGAAATAAGGATGTCCTTGCATTACTTGGCATGCACAGAGTTGTGCTGATGCCAGATTATTTGCTTCCCTAAGGGAGGGTGTGAGGGAAGGAAGGAAGAAGGATGCTGGTGTTACTTTCCTCCTGTGTCCTGGCAATCTCTGAGCCTGCTTGTCTTTCTGAGCCACAAAATGTTCCTGTTCTGCTTTGACCACCGGGTAGGTGCCTGCTTAAAGGCGGGTAGCCTCTCTGTTACACTATGTTCTCTTCTGTGCTAAAAATACCCAGTAGGGTTTTAATTCAGAGTTGCAGTAAAGCATGAGATCAGCTTATAAAGCAAGTGATTTTGGTTCCCTGAATTTCCAGGTTTCCTGAAAGCCTACTTGAAACTGCTCTGTATTAATCCTTTTCAAGAAAGATAACTAGTATTTATTGTATTTATTGGCAAGGTGTAAGGAGAGTTTCTCTTCACCAAAGTACCCCCCACTTTCCGTCAGAAGTTTATCACAACAGATAAGTTGAGTAACATCATCCCTGGAGATCAGTTTTAAGACTGTTCTCTCCGTAGGCTATGTGCATCACTCAGTTTTACAGATTGCCTCTTTTTGAGAATGTCTTCTGTGGTTAGTGATCTGTCCTAAACAGTGTCCAGTGCACCACTGATCTTTTTCTG